AGACGTCACGGATGTAACAGCTGATCTTGGTCTGCACTGGTCGTATTAGTAGACCCAGCTGCAGCTAGCTGGCTTTGAGTTAATCTATAGCTCTTGAAAAAAAACTAAGTTTAGGCGCTATACGATATAAAGTATTTATCATTCGTAGGGGCAATATATGTTTTGACTTCTTAGACAGAAACACGAATTCGGATATGAAACACATGAAAACATGTAAGTAATCAAGTTCGTGCGCTTTGACTCGAATGACTTCATACACTCGTGCCTTGCGTAATTGTATTAGCAAAGAAGAAAAAGAAAAAAAGAAAACAACGAAAAAAAAACAACAAAAAACAACAACAACAACAAACATATAACAGACCAAACAAGAAATATATTTAAATCAAAGGCCTGCAAGCTCTGTGGTATTTTCTGATCTTTGCAATCTAAATCGTACTGTATATCTGTATGTATTTTTCTGTATAAGTTTATTTTATATACTATAATTCACCTTGCAGGGCACCGAGATGCAGCGACTGCGTTTGGATTTTTTACTATAACAGTTTGAGTTTGATACATATTAAATTTTACATGACTAGAGTTGCATCAAAAATCATTTATGTTCATTTTTTATGACAGCCACACTTTATCCTTGCATATCGTGGCTACTTCCTTAAAAAATACACTTAAAAAAATTACTGGGATTTGAACCCCAGACCTTTCACACGTTATGCGAGCGCGTTACCCCTGAAACACGGAGAAGTTTAACGTAACGTGCTGAATAAAATCAAATAATTCTAATTTTAGAATATCCATGCAGGGTTTGTAATCCTTATTAATTTCGAGGTATTTAGTTCACGATATACCTGTTGTTTAACATTAATGTAAATAATTTAGCGAAAATCTTCTCGCCAAAACAGTCCGACATGTATATATTCCACTACTGGACAGTCAGATTTATTTGTGTAATACGCTCTGAGGTATTCGGTAATCGACATCGCTAAAAATAGCATTTTCATTGATTAAAATCATATTCATCCGCGTTCATTTATTGACAATTCTACTTTTAAACTTTGAATGCGTTGTAATTTGTTTGATACTTGTAAACAAAATAAAAATATTTCTTTCTTTTACATCGCTAGTTTTAAGCTGTTTTGAGAACTACTTGTTGTTAGGTTTGTCGTGAAATTCTGTGCCAGCATTGTATTTACTGATCTGCGATCAGAAAATGCAAAAAGATACTCGGTCGAAGTATAACTGGTTAACATGCAAAATAATGTAATTTCTAATTTTTCAATACAAAAAGAAATTTTAGCAATGCTTGCATAATAAAGACATAATGATTATTTCTTGTAACTAAGAAAATACACATTTTGTAACATTGAAATTAAATAATAGCATATTGATGATTTTTCAAAGTAAGACAACTTCTATTTTGGGTGCCCTTTTTACTTGTTTAACGTTTGGCTATATAAATTTTGTAATCATTTACAAATTAACCTAAAGGTTATAGAACTATCCTCATTCATGTACATTTTAATTAGGACCATACTTTACATTTCATTTATTAGTGGCAAAACTATCACTTACATTTTATTTTTAGAGCTATCCTTTTATTTTAGAATGGTAAGATTTTATTTTATAATGTCCAATGAGATTCACGATTTCAAATGACCAATGAATATTCTTCTTATATTCAGTCCTTTTCTGTTAATTTTACAGGAAGTCAAACTGATAACAGACGGACATCGTCCGAAAAAGGGAAAAATAAAGTGCATACTGTATAATAAAGGATATTTTCTTCGTTGTTTAAATGCACGTTTTTATAAATGTTTTCACATAAAACTCGTGATATGTTTCATGGTTTCAAGTTCATTCGTGGTTGGAAAGTGAAGGTGCGCATTTCTAAAAATAACAAAGTAAAAGAAAACTTATAATCACGGACAAATGTATCCCGGGACAACCAATATTCAATCAGTTAAGCTGTTTTTAGCCAATAATAAATGGAAGGGGAAATTATACTTTACATTTATTTTAGCTATTAATGCATCTATTTACACTTTTTCACTTTTTCATTTTCAGGTTGGTACATTTTCAACAAGTCTTGATCTTTCTTAGAAATTCAATAAAAACAATATGCCCCACTCGGGTTACTCCCAGGAATATTTTAACCTAAATTCAAACAGCAGGGTAATCACCATGGAAAATTTGTTAAAGATAAATCTGGGCCACTAAAAATTGTAGAAAACTTCACAATAGTCTATTCAACGATTTTCAACAGATTTTTCAAGATTTTATAAAACTTACACTAAATGTTATAACATATGTACAGCACAATGCATTGGTATGACTATTGTTAATGTGTATAAAAAGGCAGTTAAAGGTGTCACTTCTTTGTACGCTATTTGGGTGCAAAATGATAAATGCATCCAATCTTTACAGCCATTTTACCTTCCCCACTTTATAATATTAGCAAATATGTCTAGATCTGCCAGCTGGTATCGCTTACAAAACAATTATTTTACAATCATCACATGAAAGAATTTGATAACAATATAAGATTTTATTAATAAGGACCCCCGTGTACAGTCTGATGAATATTTAGTGGTACATCATATAAATAAATGTTTTAAATACACCTAGGACTGAGGTAAATGGTAAAACTCTTTAGCCAATACTTTATAAAAAAATAACTTGCTTAGAAAAAATTTTACTACTATATTAAACAAGTGACTATTTTGATATAGTGAAAGTTGGACAATTTATATTGTGTCACTTAAAACAAACAGTTTCTTATTGTTTTTCTGAAAACATCTGATAATTAATCAAGTGTGGCATTTCTGCAAGTCTTGACGTTAATACAACATGTGACTTTATGCAATTTAGTCAGGCATGACATCAGTGCCACAGAATTAAGAATGTGTTTGAATTTAGGTTGTGATTGAAAATTGGTTGTTTCGGGATACATGTATAAGATTGTTATTCATATTTGCGCACGTATGCTTTTTCTTCCTCACGTGACAATCCCGTGCAATTGACGTCATACAAGCCTACGTGACAATCGGCATGAATATACAGCTTCATAAACAATAACTGCTAATATAAGTAAATATATGTACATGATGAAACTAAACAAACTTATATTTTTTTATATATTCAAACATTTATCCTCCAAAAACTTAGATTTGATATCCAAGTTACAAAAGCTTATGTAATCGTCCCGTCGTTTTGGCCTTCATTTTCATTTTTTACCGTTGCAGAACTCTAAAAGATATAGTAATAGGCCTGTATGCATAAAGACATTTTGGACGGTTGGACATATCCAGTTTGTAGACATATGATTGGACATACCCAGTCAGTAGACGTTAAGACATTTTGGATTGTTAGACATATCCAGTCTGTAAACATTGGATGGTTGAACATATCCAGTCTGTAGACATATGATTGGACATATCCAGTCTGTAGATGTTAAGACATTTTGGACGGTTGGACATATCCAGTTTGTAAACATATGATTGGACATATCCAGTCTGTAAACATTGGATGGTTGGACATATCCAGTTTGTAGACATATGATTGGACATATCCAGTCAGTAGACGTTAAGACATTTTGGATTGTTAGACATATCCAGTCTGTAAACATTGGATGGTTGAACATATCCAGTCTGTAGACATATGATTGGACATATCCTGTCAGTAGACGTAAAGACATTTTGGATGGTTAGACATATCCAGTCTGTAAACATTGGATGGTTGAACATGTCTGTAGACATATGATTGGACATATCCTGTCAGTAGACGTAAAGACATTTTGGATGGTTGGTCATATCCAGTTTGTAGACATATGATTGGACATATCCAGTCAGTAGACGTTAAGACATTTTGGATTGTTAGACATATCCAGTCTGTAAACATTGGATGGTTGAACATATCCAGTCTGTAGACATATGATTGGACATATCCAGTCTGTAAACGTTAAGACATTTTGGCCGGTTGGTCATATCTCGTTTCTAGACATTCATACATTTTTGATGGTTGGACATACACAGGGCATAACCAGGTTTAAGATAATTTGCTTTGGTTGCATGGTTGGTCATATCCAGTATTTAGCTTTAGGCATTTTATTATAGTGCTTAAGATCCACGAACTTTAGCTGGTTCCTAGAAGAAGCTTAAAGGCACATTATGCCTCAGAAATACATATTTATCAAACACTTCAGAAATGTTAACCATGTGTTAAATAATGTTTTAATAATTGATTTAGAGCAAATTAGATGACTAACAGCTAAAGAAAGTAACGTTAAATGTGCAGTAATTGTCGTTAAGGTAGCAAAATGTAAACAAAGTAGTATTTTGACTTCCATACAATATACTCAGTTCATACAAATATACCAATTGCCAACAGAGCAAAGGAAGCAAAGATAGTTCATTTATAAATATGGCAAATGAATATTTTTTGGAAATTGTAACAAGATAAAAAAAAAGGGATTTGGATCGATTGTTTGTAGTTTTAATGTTTAAGTGTGCTACCTTAACAAAATGAAGTCATTCATCATCATCATCAACATCATCATCATCATCATCATTAGATCATGGAATCTTATACTGTCTTGTGCGTTTATGCTAGTTCAAATTAAAAAAAAACAACGAAAACAATGCCTGGGAGTTAATTACATAGAAAAAAGAACTAAAAAAACTTAATTCACTTTATCGATATCTGTAAAATTTAAAAAGTTAGAATGGAATTACTCATTTCTTATCATTCAAATCTTCAATATAGTTCAAATGTGAATACAAATAAATAATTGGTCATTCCGACAATTTCATACATATAACAAAATTGTACAAAAAATGTATTATGAAATTTTAGAGAAAAATAACATCCTGTCTTGTATTTGAAGTACATTTTTAAAATATTAAAACATTACATTTTAAATGTTTGCGTTTTTTATATCAATATATTTAATTCTAATTTCCTTAATGTAATGTTCTATTATCAGTCAATTAGTCGGCGTTGCAATTTTTACACAAATATTTGATCTATTTTATAAACTGATCTGTATTAAGAATACAAATCCAATGTACTGTTTAACATTTTCACCAAACCTGCAAATAAACTAAATTAATATCGATTCAACAACAATGAATCGTGATCAAATAAACTAATATTTTAATTCACGATCTTTTGAAAATACGTTACATGTCCATCATGAGAAATGCTAATAAACGGCTAAATAAAATAGTCTACTGTTCCATCGGCATTCAATTGATTTGTTTCCTTTATTTGAACAAGGTAGCCCTAGGTTTTCGAAAAAAGAGTGAAAATGTTTATTGAGGTAACAGATCTAAAGGTCCAAAGTTGTGAAAGTTATATGGAAGCAATGGCGAACGCAACAAAGGATCAATTACCATGGACAAACAGACGTGTCAATAATGCATCTCCCTGTCGATAGCCGCTACAAACACGAACCACCAGAACGCTGCGCTGAGGAAAGTCAATACATATTCATGACATCAAATATCGATAAGCCAATCGCGTTACAGTATTGCACGCGCCCTGCCTCCAGTAACGCAGCATCAATGATTCCCTGAATCTTCCCTTTTAAGGAATATTTCTGTTAATATAAATTGAACAAGAGTGGAAGTATTTCTAAAGAGACAAATTTCATCTAGTTAAAATAGACAGCTTGTTATGGATACACCACATGTCACAAACACATTGGATATGCCGGACCAACTAAGCCATGGACCTTCTTCTGCAGGTAAGAATTTCATTTACGATAAATATGACAAATCATTTGATAAGTAATCACATTTGTTAGTTTGTAAATGAGCTGCTAGAAAAACACATTACTCCTTTTTATTGCTATCCGCCGAGACTTAGAGCGTCAATTTATGTAAAAGTCATATATGTATACGAGACTGTTGGTTCGTCTTGTAGGTTTATAATGTCAAATAAAGAATGATATTATCATTTGTAATAGACATTTGATTTTTTTAAAATAAATTTAACGGAATTAGTGAAATTCGGGAACCGTATATAGATTGAAATAATCGTTCAATGCATTGATGAATTTAGATTTTACCTACATTCTTTAAAGCGCTAAGACCTGGAGATTTTATTAACAACTAACTATATACATGATTATACCAAAGTCAAACAATTAAAGAACGGCAGTGCGAATACAAATTGAAAGTAAAGGACTGAATGCTTCTTATTAATAAAAATATATATGCTTAAAAAATAGAAAAAAAATAATTAAAAAAAAAAACTTTACCACATTTGAGTAAATTATGAAAAATAATCTCTACTTTTAATGTTATGCAACTATGTTTTTAAGCTTTTTGTAATTAAATAATGATTTCATCACAAGTATATATACACGTATATGAAGTTTGTATACAATAGCCTTGAACATTTCAAAATCAAAATATTTGTTTTTAGATATATGAAATATTCTGAGGTAATAAATATTGTTATATGTTAACACCTTCATGACAATGGCATCAAAGCAAAGCAAGGTCTTCCTTTAATGTCGACATTTATGGAAATTTCAAATATGACTATATTTCATATGTTCAGTTTCTGTTTTTTGTTGCTGTTTTTTATGGAATGCATAGAGCAAAAAAAGTGTGTTGGATTTTTTTTTCAGCAAAGTGTCCAACTACTAGTATGATTTTTTTCATTTCTTCAAATAAATGAAATCAGTCAAACATAACAATATAAGTTTAATACGTGCTTTTTTACCTGAATTAATATGAAGCAGCTTCACATGTATATTTATTTTTTCTAATATTGATGACATCTGAGATTCACATTACCTGTGTATCTGGAGAAGAGTAAAACAGAATAGAACATAACATTTTTTTTATAAAACGTGGTACTAAAATTTTGAGTCAATCTAATTTGCGCATCAATGAAGAATATATTAGTGTTTTCATAAACAAAACAAACAAACAAAATATATTGTTAAAAGAAATAACAATACTTACTTTTAAGCATAAACAGTGATTTTTTGCAATTATAACTTCAATTTTTTTAAATAAATTGTGTCGAGGAGTATTTGTAATATTTTTCTGAAAGTTTCGAAATATCAAAAGTGGGGTTGATATTAAGAGAATATAATTTTATCATTGGCATTCCCGGAACCGGAAGTGGGCAATACATAGATACAATAAACAAAGTGTTCCGATTCTTAATTCATGTTGCGACTTTTTCTCATTAATTTTTCATCTATTGTACGTGAATTGTTTCCCCCTTTTTCTTTCTTTTTTTTTTTTTTGCTTGGTAAGCTTAAGTTCGTTGAATTTTGTCAAAATAAAATAATCGATGAAAGAAAATAATTAAAGAAAAAAATATTGTGCTCTTTTATCTAATGGAATCAAATGATTATATATGTATATGTGCATCAGTACGATTACTGTTTCTATTGTAATGTTTAAAATAATCACTCGTGAGTGACAGAAACTTATCAGACAGTAATTTTGTGTTAATTTCAACTTCCGGAGATTGTCGAACAATTTGGAATAAAGTCTGCGGTTATTTCAGGAGGGCATCTAAGCCCCGACACAAACGACGACGGCGACATGTATCATCACGATCACGTGTCTTCAGACCCCGGCGGAGATGACAAGCCGTCAAAACAGAAACGGCACCGGACAAGATTTACACCGGCTCAGTTGAACGAATTGGAGAGAAGTTTTGCTAAAACGCACTATCCGGATATCTTTATGCGTGAAGAACTAGCACTTAGAATTGGACTTACAGAATCCCGTGTTCAGGTATGTCGCCCTATTTTCAAAATTGTGAAACAAATTTATGACACCGCATTTCTACATTTACATTGGCATTTGTGAATGATCCTCACTTTATTTATTCCAATTTTCACTATTACTTTGATTTAGGAATCTGTGCAAAGTCTCTCGCTATCCATATTGTTTTTCCAATTTAATTAAACAACGAATGTTAAGACAATGGTACCATGTATTCAGTTATATGTTGTGTTTTGTATTTGATTTTAGTTGTTTATTTACTTTCAAACACGTAATCTGGCCGTTAGGAAGTGTTCAGAATAATTTCTATTTGAATCTATGTAATTTTTTGTATTGTTTGATTTAATTAATCTTCCTTTTTTGTGGGGGAAATGGGGGGGGGGGCGACGGGGGTGATTGTCGTCGGGGTGGAGGCAGAAATGGTTCTTAAAGTACCCAGACGGGCAGTAACGAATCAAGATTAATAATTAAGTATACATATTTGAGAGTTTGCGCATATTTGCGGACACTTTTTTATGCTAGTTTTATTGTTCTAAGCGCTAAATATATTTAACAAGAATAAATTTTATTGTTAACGTAATTTTCTGGTAGATCTGAGAAGAAACCACGTGTATATTTCTTACATTATTTTAGCATATTTGTAACGATCTTTCCCTGAAACGTTCAAACAGAACTTAATTAACATTACGGAGTCATAGCACAAAATAAGGATAGAAATTTAATTTCAAAATGAAACGTTCTGTGAAACATTTAACTTCTCTTACTTATTTCATTACAAATGTATTTTACTACACATAGATATCCATACAATGACATTCCTTGCAGATACAAAATATATAAATACAAAAGTTGTTCATTTTTCAGTGATTATACAAATAAATGCGATAGATATAAAATATATTCAGGATTTCATATAAAAGAGAACTAAGTATTTTTTTGGATGTTGTTCAAAATTATAAAAGATTTTTATTTCAAGTTTTCATACTATTCCTTATTATACATGGCACCGATCAATATTTTTCCACAGTAACTTAATTAAACAAAAAACAGTCGGCACTGCCTTTGATGTCTTATATTTATTACTCATTTGAAAACACGCAATGATTTAATGCATATATAGAATTTCATATACATGTAATTGCTAATCATAAAAGAAGATAAATATATTAAATAAGATATCTCTGAAAGTTGTAAAACATTTGTTTTAAATAAAGTTGCCATTTTTTTTTATTTCATTATTAATTTCGGATGATTTCACTCTCGATATTAATGCGCGCAATTGACAAAAAAAAAATCATGATTTCACAATAGCTTTATAATTTACTTTAATCGTACATGCGCAATTTTCCCTATAAAATAACATTAAAATAAATTAAGGACGTTTTGAACTGAGAGACAATGACCTTTCGTCCCCTTAATACTCGATCATCTTCAATTATTAAAATATGAAATTTCCGAACAAACGCATCTGAAATGAAAGTACCCAACATCAGCATTACTACATGCATATAATTAATGTCTTGATGCCTTATTATAGTGAAATATGAACTTAAAAATATGTATATATTAATTTAATTTTACCAGTGAACTATGGATAGGAAATATAAAAAAACACCCGGTCTATTATACTTTAAAAAAACACTTTAAGAATAAGTTAATGAATTTAACGAAGAACATTTTCATATACAACACTTTTCCAATTTTTAAGTAACAAAAAGTAAATATTTCAATGCAACCAATCATTATTTATTAACGCATAATGTTTGTTTTAATTATTTTATATCGCATTACATATGTTTGTATTTGAAAACTATTTCAGATATCTGTTGGCAATAATACCATGTAATTCATTGTATATTTTCTCCATTTGCTTATTTTTAATAATAATAATAATAATAATAATAATAATAATAATAATAAAAATAATAATAATAATAATAATTATTATTATTATTATTATTATTATTATTATTATTATTATTATTATTATTATTATTATTATTATTATATGCTTTACACAGTCTTGCCATGTATCATTTGCTTATCCTCATGGAATCGTGGATCATTTGGTCCAATGGAATATTGAAAATTGAAAATAAAACTTGTCAAATTTATATCATGAATTTAATTAACTTCTTACCACAGTCAAGATCTATAAATTACACAAGTTTATACAACAGACTTGATAGATTTATTTTCGCGAAGGCTTATAAAAACTATAATTTTCACTGTCTGTCTAGCTATTAATGAAACGTTAGAAATAACCATTCCAATTTTGACACTTATTGTGCCATTGTAAATAACATAACATAACATAACATAACATAACATAACATAACATAACATAACATAACATAACATAACATAACATAACATAACATAACATAACATAACATAACATAACATAACATAACATAACATAACATAACATATAGTTTATTAGCATAATATGTAAACAGGGCGCGCAAGAAAATACAAAATATAGTGAGTTTCCTCTTCGATAGAATCAGTTTTACATAACATACAATTTTTGATGTGGTGTTTCCCCCCTATACCTTCCCCCTTCGAATATCGCATCTTAACTTAGCGTATATTGATCGTTGAGTCAACTGTAACTGTAAACAATTCTCATTGGTAAATGTTGTCTTAAACGTTAAGCGAGATCTGAAATTTTATTGCGTTTTTTTTTATCTTTATAGTTGTTATCTCTTGCATAAACGAGACTATGATATTGTTTAGCAAGTCGGTGATAACTATTATAACATTTCTTGGACGAGTTTTAGGCAATTATATATGGAATGGCAGCGACTTATATCCCATTAATAGCGTTATGTGAAAGTTAGAAAATGCAGAATAAAAGTCGAAAAATCAAAATATTTACTATTAACTGGGGCATTCTTTTCCTTTAATAAAACAGCCAATGAATCAATTACATTGAAAACATACGACTTCGAATTATGAATATTTTTTCACTGATGCATGCATGGTATCAATGGTAGTACAATTCAAAGATTTAAAAAATTAATCATTATAGAAGAATATCATGATAAAAATATAATTCTATTTATATAAATATAAAGCCGCGCGTGTGTGCCTCGCTCAAAACTGCACCGTCATTAAGATTGTCGGTATGAATGTATGAAAATATATATATAATATGTGTTTCTTTAAGATATAACATAAAAAGATCAATCCTTCCAACATTTACCCGTGGAAATATATATAAAAATGAATATACATGCATATACATGTATATAGTGACGCATTGGAAATGCTTACATTTGCAATCTTATGCAGTACTAAATATATGATTTTCCGATAATGTTAACGACTAGGAAAACACTTTGATATATAAAGAGAATGTTGTTTGGTGTATTTTTTCGCATTAAGTAAATAAATATCTGGTGAAAATATATATGTTGGTTTTCTTTACTTTCCTTTAAACGAAAACCAACAACAGAAACAAAACAAACACAATTATTAATCTACCATTTTTATTTGCCAAAAATCTCATTTTTTTTCAGTATACTGTATATTTTTATGAATATGTTTTATACTTCATGTTCTTCTGGCGTCAGTTTATGCTCTTTTTTGTTCTTTCTTTGTTCTTTTCGATTGAATTTCACCTTTCTCCCCATTTTTATTAGGTCCAAATTACTGAATAGTTTTTTTTATAACAGCGTTTTGCATTTTTGACATTTGCAGCTGTAACATTGTGCATAATTTTCTTCTGTGATTTTTTCTGTAGTAAATAATGTTTGTGTGTACGTGTGTGTGTGTGCTTACTTGTCATAATTTATTCATCACCTAAAACTGTGATATAAAGCACAAACTGGCGAAGACAATTTCTATAAATTGCAATCGGTATTCTGATTGCCTCACGTAGTATCGAAGAAAGGTCAATATTTCACAAGATTGCTAGTAAGTTGACAACGCGTTCGCGGTTGTTTTTTCTTAAAAGAACCGTTGTTGACGAATTTATTGACAGTTTGATTAACTCTATTTGAGCAGACAGACTTCGTTGTCGTCTTTTGTTTCCAAAGAAACAGGCATCAATAAATAGACAGTTGTGTAATGGCATTCGTCAGCAGGGTCACAGTGGTCAATAATGTCAAGTTAAAAAACTCAGATGACAAGACTATGCAAGAGTGCTTGTATGTTTAACATCTCTTTTATGCTTCTAATTTGAATAGATATTTACACATAATCATCGCCTCCTTGGTGCTATTCTAATGCAGCGGTTTGTACCGAGTAGAAAAACCTTCATTGAATACTTGAATTAGATGATTTTAATTGGACATTTCTATTTATTAAAAGACCATTATGTCCCAAAAATGTATTTATTTTCATTTTTCAAAATCTTTTTAAGTTTGGTCTAACTTAACAGTGACCAAAAAATTACTCATCGGCCAATTACCTAAACCATAGTTTTCTTCTGTTGCTTCTTGGCAGTTACTATAGTTATAATGACTCAGGATTCTACCCATGTGACCGTACCGTCTAAACATGGTCTGCACTTCTCGCTATTTAGTCGATACATATTTATAAATTTTCCCTAAAATGATGAATGGTTTTGCCCAGTTTAATAAAACAGAAAAGTCTATTTAAAACTTTGAGCGTGGTAAAGACTTAATGAAGTAAAGGAAATGCTCTGATAAAAAAGTTACTAGGACAGTGGGACATATAAAAATGGGTTATTTTCATGAGTCATTCGCGACTGCAGACCTAATGCTTTTTAACTATGGCCTCATATTGAAATAAAGGAGGTCTAAAATGCGCTAGAATTTGTAAAAATATGATTACTTCTGTTTTGACGGCTCTTACTAAAGCGTTTGATCTAGGTTCCGGCAATGACTTCCATTTAAAGGTATTGGTCAACAAAGTTAAACAAGACGTCTAGGTCAGGTTTATTTACTCATATTAGTTACACCGTTTTCTTTTGTAATTCGACCTCTTTTCATCTCGCCGCTTTCAATACTTTATGAAGGAAATAGAATCTAGCCTTTCAA